GCGTTGAGTAATTCCGCTCTCCGTTCCCTCCTTTTTCTGATCCCCTTTTCCGATTCCCATCTCTCCCCCTCCCCCCCTGCTTATCTTTTCAGCGCAAGTTCCTCCGATTCTTTTCTCTTTTTCATTTTAGCGACCAGTTCAGTCGCAATACTATCTTTCTTCTAGCGTCGAGTTCCTCCGCTACTCTCTCTCTTTTCCATAGGGCATCATTCCCCAGCTCTAACTCCCGCAGGAGTGACTAAAACGAGCTTCGATTCCCGCAGGAATCATGCCACGGCCACCTCTCGCTAGAGTCTTCACCACCCCCCCATTCTCCCAGACTCCAGCAAGAGTATCACCCCCGCAGCTCTAACTCCCGCAGGAGTTACCCTAAGCTTCAACTCCCGCAGGAGTCAATGACTTCCCCTCCCCGGCCACTAGAGGAAAAAAAACAAAAACAAAAAAAAAACTCTTCTAACTTTTCTTCTTTCTGACGTTGAGTTCCTCCGTCCCTCTTTCTATCTCCCTTTCGGCATTTATGCGCCCCTTCTTTATTACAGTGCCGAGTGCTTCTGCTACCTCCCCCCCCCAAACCTTTTACTCCCACTTTTCCCCCTCTCCCCCTCCTTTCACAGCGTTGAGTTCTTTTTTTCTTCTAGTGTTGAGTCATCCACTATCCTTTTCTTCCTTCCGCATAGGCCCTCACTCCCCTATTTCAGACTCCCACGAAGTCCCCCTAGCTTCAACTCCACGGGAGTTCCTACCCCCCCTCTAACTCACACCCCCTTTTCCGCCAGAGTCAACACCGCCCAAAAACCTTTCCCGACTCCCATGGAAACCCCGCCCACCTCGACTCTGGCTCCCGCAGGAGTCCCCCAGAGTCTCGACTACCGCAGGAGTCACTCCCAGCCCCTCCCACGCCACTGTCTAGACTCCCCCGGAGTCGCTTTCAAAACTCTACTCTAGCAAGAGCACCTCTCCTCTATCTCCTTCCACATAGTTATATCCAGCAGCCGGATATAGCATTGTCTTATGCCTCTTAGGGGGTTTCTTCAATACGCGGCTGCTGTCCCGTGCGCAAAAGGCTTTTTTGGGGAGTCATCGAGATCTACCTGAGCTCAAACTCTCCTCTCGCCTTGCAACGGGAGGGAGCCCAGAGCTCGAGGATCTTATAAGCTCAGGGTTCTCTCCCGGGACAGCACGCCAAACTAGCTTTATTATCAATCATCAGCTAAGTGTGAACTCTTGAAGTGAAGTTTATTTATGAACAAATTTCGAGAGGATCACGTGCTTATGATTGTTCACAGCTGTTCCAACTTTAGCTAATGACTGATTATCCTATCAGATGATCCTTAACTTACTATAAATAACCAGACTTTTCTCATCTCAATATCTTCGTCTTGAAGAAACCCCCCCACTCAACCCTACTTTCCATCTTTTCAAACAGGCGTCACGGTGGCCAGAGATTAGCGCTGTTGCCTCACAGAAAGAATGCCCCTGGTTTAATTCCTTTCCAAACCAGATGCAATTTCTGTGCGGAGTTTGCTCGCTCTCCCCGTGGTCGCGTGGGTTTTCCCCTGGTCCTCCGGTTTCCTCCCACAGTTCAAAACCAAGCACTCTAAACAATTAATCCAAATACTTTAGCTAAACTCTGAGTAAACCTTTCAGCATCCATATCGGACACTTAGCAACAACAAGCAAGAGGGGGAGTCATCGAGATCTACCCGTGCTCAAACTCCCCTTTCGTCTTGCAATGGGAGGAAGCCCAGGGCTCGAGGATCTTATAAGCTCAGGGCTCTCTCCCGGGACAGCATGCCAAACAAGCTTTATTATCAATAATCAGCTAATTGTGAACTCTTGAAACAGATCTAAACTGTGTTTCCTACAAAAACACAAAGCTGGTTATGTTTCACAGCTGTCTTATTCCTTTTTTTCGCTCAATATTAGGAGTAATGCTCTGTTTAAGCCTTCGCCATAACGTTAGTAACTTGACATGAGTTATTGATCCGGAAAATACGAGTCTGCGAATCTGTTGCTAACATTGCTGAACTTCATATCTCCATCTGTTTCAAGCCACAAATATTTGAAATTACAAATCAACAGAACAAAACCGAGATATGATCACAAACTGAGCACTTGCGATCAATATACTTTACCCCCAGATGTTTTTTTCAGTCATTTATAAAGAGCACACAAACATGCTGACAGTAATGGGTAACTTACAGTACATTGTTATGGGTCAATAATGCAAATATTCATCACAAATCCATCAGTTTCCCCTTTCTGGCTGCTCTTTCTATGAAAGAACTATGTAAAGGCACTGTCAAGCGTGTTTCCTCGTCAGTTGGTAACGCTATAATTCATTGCACAACAATTAATCTATCAGGCTTTTTGGCTAAAAATAAAGAAATTGTGATTTAATTTGTTATTATTATTACTGTTAATTTTCAATCTCCTGCTGAGCATGAGCTATACTGTTGAATGGTTAGCGTATGAGGCAGCTAGGCTAAGCTAGCTTCAATTTTGATTGATTTATTCTCTAATCGGTTGCCTATTATGTGGTGAATATACCCCTGTAATGCATACTGCAGTCCTTTTTTGCCTGGCTTTCTCGAATATCTCAACTGTTCGCAAAAAATGACTAATTATATCCCTGGCAAAGCTTGACAGGCGTAGCAACAGTAACTAAGGAAGGCGGGGCTTAGCGAAGGGTTCGTTCTGTTGCACTGTAAAAGCCCTGTCACCAAAACAAGTTTCTCGTATGTGTGATCATGCCTGACAATAAAGCTCTGTCTGATTCTGAAACAGGCAGGGTCAACACCAGTAACAAAAGGGGTAATCCACAAACAAAACTCAAAGAACAGGCAAAGGTCAAAACAGGCAGCAAACACTCAAAAATACAACAAAACACTTTCAAAAAGAAGAACAGGCAAGAACAGGAACAAGGGAACACCAGGAATTGTACACTACAGTGAAAGAAGATTGAGCAAAGACATGCTTGAAAGTGAAAATGATCTGCAGCTGTGTGTGGTGCTGAGGATTCTGGGATGTGTAGTCTGGTTCAGTGGCAGATGTGATGTGCAGAGTGCTCTCTAGTGTGTCTGGTGGACACTCAACTTGGTGACTGTGACACTAACAACAGTAATCTTGCTAGCAATATGCTGAAAATATATCTCTGTCCATCATAAGGTGTATTGAAAACTATTTAATAAACCCTTGATCTGATATGATCATACTCACAGAAAAGTCACAGTCCTCTTCTTCATCATCTGAAAAACAGATTTACAGACATTGATGAGGAAACATTAACAACACACTGAAATAAACACAATACACTTCACTATAGCACAGTTCTAAATCATTACATATAATTATTATATTGCAGCTGTAGAAAACAGATGTTTATCTTTCAGTGATAAGTGAAGTGTCTGGAGAGCATTTCTGCTGAATATGAGGATCATCTCAAACTGTAGTCTTTAGTTTCAGGCCTTTGTTGACGTCACATTTCTCTGCTATAAGAGAGTTTGTGTTGTATAATATTAATAATGCTGAAACTCACCAGCTAATCTGTTGTGAATCAGCCTGACAATAAAAGCAGAAAACAGAAGAGCAAACACAGCGACGACAGCAACAATCACACTCACTGCTGAGAGAAAGAGGAGTTAAACACAGCACTGAACACACACTTCAATGTATAAGTGCGCCTGTTTCAGCGATTGTTTTAGAACTTCTGATTCAGCTGCCTATATGGGAGAAATGACTAGGAATAATAAACAGCAGAAAACGGTCAAACTACTCGCTCTACAAACAAGTGTGTTCATGACCATACAGACCAAGCAGAATAAGAAAATAAGAAAATATCAGTTTGCAACATCAAGCAGCCGCTTTTAACATCTAAATATGAATGAAAGTGAATAAGACCAGACGTCTTGAGCCAAAAGATTAAAATGGCTGCAAAGAATAAGGTGAATACTGACATTATCACACACAATGAGTTAATATTTCCAGAGCAACACAATTACTGACCAAAACAACTGTCACACATGATCAGAGCTCTGAGCATTTACATTCACAAATCTTCCTGTTAGTGTCATCCTCAGATCTGCTTTATCATTATTGTTTTGTCATAAGCTGAATTAGAGAGACACAGAAAACACTGATGGAAAATCACTGAAGATGAACCTGCTGATGAAGATTCTGGACTGGTTGTGTTGTGGTCTGGAGTCTCTGCTGCTGTTGTTTGAGCTCCAGCTGTAACAGATGAAGGATAGTTCAGATGAATAACACTGTTGAACATCACAGCTGAACTAGTTATGTCCAGTATTGAACACTGTAATGCAGTGATGTGAGATAAACACTGCTCAGTGTTCAGACCTGGTGAAGCTGCTCTGGGTTTTTCTGTTTCCGGGTTTGTGTTGTGGTCTGGTGTCGCAGCTGTTGTTGTTGTTGTTTTAGATTTAGCTGTGAAAGATGAAGGTGAATATGAATCATACAGTAGCAGAACATCAGTTTAATAATTGATAATTGTGTCTCGATCCTACAAATCCTCCATTCGATTACATTTTCGATTCTAAAGTCACGGTTTGAGTATTCGATTTTCGACTATGAATAATTGATTAATTCATAATGCATTAATTATTTGTAGCCTACCGTTTACACTACCTGACCTGCATGGTCTCTGTTTTACCCATAAACAAATCATACAGTTAATGAATAAAGGCAGGTTACACGCATAATGACCACCTGTCAATCACTTTTTCTGCGGGACTCGTGAATAGGCAGTGATCTGAGGTGTTTGCTAAAATGACCAAGTACAAGTGTAAAAGTAAAAGATTGAAGCGGTCTACTGACCCTCTGACTGCCTGGACCTGCTGTCTCAAGCGCAAGACTGTGTGTGCATCTGTGTCTGTGTGTGAATGTGTGTGTGAATGAGTGTGTGTGGTTATGTGATGTGCGTTTTCAGCAGTAGTAAGGAAGGAGGGCTGCTCAGAAATGCTACACACCACAGTGGATGTGGATCGTTGTCGTTCTAAAATGCCATTTAAAAACTAAGACCTATTAGTGTAAACAGGGCCTGAGTGTGTACTTGTCGCGAGCGGATTTGCAACAGGGGCGGGCAGAGGATCTGCTATAGGATCTGGAGCTGTAAAAGACAATAGAAATGTTTATTCAGCTCAATCACACTCCACTAAACTTTCATGACTTGACCATTTTGGAAAAAGATTTTAAAAGGAATAAAGGATGCATCTCTGACCTGAATAGTGGACAGTAAACGTGTCTGAGGTCTTCAGTTGATTTCTCTGATAGACTCCACATCTCCACTGTTTATCTTCATCTTCACTGATGAGTGTTGTAGACAGACTGATGATACAGCCTGTAGAAGAGATCTGATATCTGGAGTCTGTGTTCAGATCAACACCAGCCTCATTCACCCAGGACAGATGAAGATGCTGAGAACTTAACAAACCATCACAGAAGAATCCAAAATATATGAATAGCCGACAGGAGAGAGTCAGAGAGAGACCCGGACCAATATCAGATGATGATGATGATGATGATGATGATGATGAGACTGAAACTGAACAGAAGACACAAATCACTAATCATGAGCTGAAACACAGAATTCAGCCCTGATTAAACTGAACACATGAGGAGGAAATTACCAGCAACAACATGCAGATACACATGTGAATCAGGTCCTTGTTTCTGGTCTCCTCTCCACTGTTGGCAGATGTAACGTCCAGCATCTTCTGTTGTGACTCTACTGATGGTCAGAGAGCAGTCAGAGCCCAGATTCAGTCTCTCTGAGATTATATGCTTTTCCCCTAAATAAATCAGTTCATCTGCTGCTGCCCGTCTATAACTGCTGTAGATCCAGTCAGTTTCTGATGGTCTGCAGTGCTGAACAGTATTTGTACAGGGCAGATGAACAGTTTCTCCAGATCTGCTGAACACGTGAGTATCTCCTGCTCCAAACACACCTGAAACGCACATTTAGCCATAAATTAATAGCAACAGGAATCTTACACCTTTAACAAATGTCAAATATAAGCATTTTTAAGCTCATTCCAGATGCATTTTCAAAAATTACCAGCACAAGTATGACAAACTAATTTTTTTACATGCAGTTTATTATATTACTTTATAGTGTAGTATTCAAATAATAAATTTGAATGTCATGTTTGCCCCAAGCCCACATGAATTACTGTCATTTGCTTACTTATTTATAATTTGCTCAAACCTTAAATGTGTCTTTAACCCTTGTGTGCCGTTCAGACTGATTCCCCTTTGGTGATGTTGGTGGTTGTTTGCTCCATTGACTTCCATTATAATCACATTAATTGATAGTAAAGGCATGACAGCAGATAACCATTCTGTGTGGAGTTTGCATGTTCTCTTTGTGTTAGTGTGGGTTTCCTCCGGGTGCTTCGGTTTCCCCCACAGTCCAAACACAGTTTCAAAACAATACTCGAGTTACTCGACTACCCGTGGTTCGAGCTTCTAGTTAAAAAGACACAAAGAAATCCTTTTCAATATGTTTTATTAATTCATAGCCGAAGGCTTTGATTTCATAGCTAACATAAATTGTCAAAACATTATACTACTTTATGTTACAGAGTAATATAAAAATAAAAAGCTGCACACAACATTGTCATTTAACATCTGCGTCATAAGCTTGCACTATATGTGAAGCAAACTCATGTTCATCCTGTAATACTTTAAGTTATTAAAGTAACTTTAATATTTTTCAGCCGTAATAAGAACTAAGTGAAACTTAATTGTTAAACCAGTTCGGAAAGATAAAAATAGTTTGTCAACAATACAGCTGACCCGCAAAAAAAATAAAAAAACAAATATCCTAAATTAATAAATAATGCATAAATAAAAAGTTGAAATTGAAAATACTTAAATTAAATATTTATAATTCAAACGAAAAAAGTTTGGCTAATTATTGCATTTTAATTATACATTTAATGTAGGCTATAGAAAGCAAAAGTAGCCCCACCTGAAACCTAAAATGCGTCCTGAAAACTCATATTCATAACGCAGTATTCATAAAACTAATTAAAGATTAATAAAATTATTCTGAGCTAGGCTAATTCTCATTCAATCATTTAATTTCTGCTACGTTGAACAGTTACTAAAATAACAAAATGAACGAATATAAATACTTCAACCGGCCTGAATTACGCAAACGATCATCTGCGCGCAATTAATAGTCTGTCATACAACATTTAAAAAAAAAATAACTCTAATATTAAAGTTTCCAGCAGTGATGACAAGAATGAAAATAATTTTGGTTCAGAAAATAAATAGTTCAACAAGCGACAATAGTCTATACAGCCAAACAGATTAAATAATAAATGAAAAAATTATAAATACATTATTTAAATAAATGGAAAAATATTTGTTAAAATAATAAATAAAAAATGCGCAGACACAGTAAAATAGCAAATGACTGCATGAAATGTTAACATGTTGACATATTGTATGAGAAAATGTATTTAGCCTACTATTTAAAAGTCATAGAAAAAAAAAAACAGCAACGCAACTACGACTAAAAAAGCCCATCTTGCAATTTAATAATTTTATATTTACCCTGTCAAATATATTTTCGACAAAAATAAAGGATAGAATCTTACTTCATCTGGCTTTATACAGAACACAAGTCATCCCCGCTCTTATCCTCTAGTCAGGCTTTGGTCAAGCTCATGGATCGCTGGTTTACATTTAGAAATACAAGCGCATCCACGTGAGAGGGATGCAGGTTGCTCTACAGTGTTGCTGGCCAAAGAAAATGTCTTTCACTTTGTGTGCTGGTGGCAGGGACAGCAAGAAATGATTTCGCTAGCTTGGATAGTATTGGAAACTGATGTTCATTACATTGCTCTGTGTTTCCTATAGGATTTTTTCCAGCTGTGGCGGCAAGCTTTTTTATACAGATCTACTAAACACCTATGGCGTTATTTCAATCTCTTTGCTTGCACGCAAAATTATTAAGATAAAATCATAATATGCAGAGCAGTAGATACTATAAAGCAGTGTTTCTCGTCGCGGGAACATTTTCAGTGGGTCGCGGAGTGTGTGATCAAAAAAACAACAAAAGTTTGATATTTAACTTATTTGCTTATATCGGACTTTTATTTTGAAATGCGCATGCCGAAGCATGCTAATGGGACTTTTATGGCGCTTTTGGCGAAATGCAATGCAAAAACCAGCGCGTTTAAGGTCTGTTTTCTTTAAAAATCAGCAATCTCCACTAGCTGAGTGATATCTGATATAAAGTGTGTCTCAGATTGTACAAGAAGCACTGCATTACATTACATTTCCCCTCGCCATGTCTTTATAATATGAACATTTATTTTACCCCAGAATATTTAATGGAGCTTCTGCGCTAGTCTGCCGATTCTGACGGGCGCGTGCGAGTAAACGGCTTTTTTTGTCTCGTTTTACGCTTGAGCAACTAAATGAATGTATTTTAATGACATTACACGACTCCAATAGCTGAGGGCTTCACAAAAGTGCCGAACATATTCATGTTGAAAACAAGCACATCTTACCGTGTAGCAAAGGCCAAGAAAGCCCAAACAACAGCAGAACTGCAAATAACTGCTGATTATTATTAAATGGTTATGATTATTTTAATAATTTTACTTCAGTTTGCTGGTTTCTGTTCAGTTCAGCCAGATCAGTGTTAATGTTTTACAAACAGTTTAGTTTAGTTAATGATAACTGTACTTTTCCTTACACTAACCACTGTTTACAGTATTTGGTGCTTTTACTCTGTAATATTTCTATAATTTGATACATTTTGTTAAATGACTGCAGTAAAATATAGTTTATTTGTAAGTCTTGGTGATTTTCTCATAATTTATCTGTCACTAGTTGTGTTTGTTAACAATTAAATACAAATTAATTATAATTCCTAAAATCATATTATAATTCCTAAAAATTTGGGTCGCGACTTGATGAGCATGTAAAAATGTGGGTCCCATGGACAAAGCAGTTGAGAACCCCTGCTATAAAGTATACTTATGGAAACTGTTAATCTAACTGAAAGCTGTCGTGTTTGCTGGCCTCACGCATCTCACACCTGTCAGTCAGTCAGCACGTGACCTTTAAGGGTTAAACAAATTACGCACACACAGTAAAGTTTGCACTGTTATTATTCAGGTGCGATTATAACCAGCTATTAAAAAACACGACTGAATGTTCTGAATGGGAAGCTGTAATGTTTTTTGGTGTGGTGCCCGCCACGGAAGAATTAATTTAGCGGAGACCATGTAACATTCAAGAGGATTCCCTGTGGTGTTAATGTTGATAATGTAAATGATCTTGAATTAAATCCTCAGTTGTAGCTGGAAGCTTTAACCTTGGATTGTGATGTTTGTTGGGTACGTTTGTCGTTTTGATGTCATTTATGGTAAATGCACGCTCGAGTAGTCGATTGCTTCTGAGAGCGTCGACTAGTGGTTGAAGTAGTCGATCGGTCAACTAGTCAATGTAAGCCGAGAGAGAGAATTAATTAGTATGTATGTTTCCCAGTACAGGGTTCCGTTCTTTGTACCTCACTTAAATGATTTGGCAGATCCTGGATCTGTTCATCTTGATAACTGATCTCTGGCTAATTTGGTTCTTCAAACGAGTTCGTGAATCAGATCAGAATGTCTGGATGAACTGATCTGAGATCGCTGCGTGTGTTGTGAAGGACAGATCTATCGATCCTCGAAATCATGATCAGCAATGCAGCGATTGGCTGACGGCACAGCAGCGTAATGACATCATCTGATTAATATTCAATTATCCATGTGAGCAAAATTACATCAAATTAGCAGTAAACAGTTTGTTAAATATGACACGCAATAACCTAACACATGTGTTGTGAGCTGCAGGCTTTACTCTTTCATGTGTCAAGTGTATTCATCATGTATTTCAATGCATATCAGTGTATTTAGTTCTACATTTAGAAAATATTTTCTTTATTATAGTAGCTGTTTTTTAATCGGTGTAAAGAAAAACCGATTGTTTACAAAAGCATTTTGATATTGGTAAAGGCGTCTGCAACTTTTGTAAAGCATCAAATCACTGGCATAATAACTATCAAAACATGTTTAATACTGCATAAATGTATTATTGCTTTAAAAAAAGTCACATATTCTGCATTTCTATTATACACAATTTGCACTAAATCGATCTAAAAGTTCATATCAATAAGTTTTCTCTGTGCACCAGCAGGTGGCAGTCTTTGTACTTTCATTTCGAGAGTGCAGATTGCATACGTTTCATTAATATATATAACTTTATTTATTTTATTAATAACTATAACTTTATATATATATATATATATATATATATATATATATATATATATATATATATATATATATATATATATATATATATATATATATATATATATATATATATATATATATATATATATATATATATATATATATATATATATATATATATATATATATATATATATATATATATATATATATATATATATATATATATATATATATATATATATATATATATATATATGTGTGTGTGTGTGTGTGTGTGTGTGTGTGTGTGCGTGTGCGTGTGCGTTTGAGTGTTTGTGTGTGTGTGTGTGTGTGTGTAAATAAATAAATAATAATATATAGAGAAATAAGTGTGTAAAATAACAGAATAAGTACTGGCAATTTATTACAAGGTGTTTGTACTGTGATATGTAACACTAACTCATACAGTGTATCACTTAAAGCTATAAAAATTTTCATAAAAGTAATTTTTTCAAACTTTAAGGTTAAAAGTTGTTGGAAGAAAGATCAAGTTCAGAAGC